CCCCATAATGACAAAGTGATAACATGTTTTTTGAATGTTTGCAAATGTATTGAAAATTAAATACAGAAATCGAATTTACATAAGTCAATGCATGTTAGAATCACCTTTGGCAGTGATTACAGCTGTGAGTCTGTCTGGGTAAGTCTCTAAGCGCTTCGCACACCTGGATTGTACAATATTACAATATTTTGTCCATTATTCTTTTCAAAATTATTGCCATAGATTTTCAAGCAGATTTAAGTCAAAACTATAACTCGGCCACTCAGGAACATTCATTGTCTTCTTGGTAAGCAACTCCAGTGTAGTTTTGGCCTTGTGTTTAGGTTATTGTCCAGTCTGTGTTGTTACGTGTTAATAACATGAAGACTACGTTACCCAGCAGGCTATGCGAGGGGGGGAAGTTGAAGTATGCCTTGCATGGCTACACAAGGACATTGCTAGCTAGAGTTTATTAAAAGTAGTTCAACCTTGTCATTATTCAAAGGAACAAACATAATACAGTCAGTGATTAATTTGAGCCGGATCCTGCCCGAACAGGTTCAGGCACCTCTCAGACTAGTTTGTTCCGGCACCTATTTGCCCAGATCCGGTACCTCTCGCGGCATGATTTATTAATTATTTCACTGTTTACACTGTAGACATTCTAGTAAAAGCGATTAGCATTCAATCAAGTTGCCTCCTCGTTATTTCTCCCGCCCCCCAGAAAGACCATCATGTAAAAGCGCGGTGATCCTTCTATGTAATCATCCTATCCTGCCACACTGATTCAAGACCTGCTCTCTTATTTCTACATAGAGGTTATGGGGAGGGCCAGTGGGGTAAGTAACTGATCTTGACACAGGTCTTGGTAGTGGTGGTAAGCTAGTGAAGAGGTCCCTACGTAATCACGTCACGTAGCCTAGTCTAGTCTACTCCGTACTGAATTTGAATCGTGGGAAAGGCAAATAAAAAATGGATAATAGACAATCGAGTTTGACATTTTTCAAGTCCAAAAATCCAGAGAAAGATGGTGAATCGAACCCAGAACGAGCCAGAGAACTGTCAGTGCCGGAGGAGAGGAGTGAGGGGCAAACTGTTCATGATGGCGATGCTAATCCCGCCAGTTCAGCATCACCACCGGCACCTCCACTAGCTAGTGGGCATACTAGCGAGTCAGACCCAGTGGGAGAGGGAGACGGGGAGCTGGGGGGAGGGGGGCATTGCATCCACCGACTAAGTGCTCGGAGCAGGTGGAATTTGCAGTTCAAGAACAAGCAAACGTATAACCCCTGGCTTGTCATGCAGAATTCAAAGTTTGTCTGTACAACATGAAAAAAGGTAGGGAGCTTGAGTCTAGAAATGACTGGAGGGATTAACCTAGCAAAAGAGTTGGTGGAATGTGCAGTAAATGTACATCCTATGCATCAGACGTAAAAAAAAACTAACAACAAAGAGCCCTCAGAATTTTTTTTTTTGAACATGCCTGAACCAAGGCGCATTTGGTGGCAGCAAGCCTTGTAGACAAGGCTAAAGAGGACACACAGGTTAACACTCAAAATAAAAATAAAAATGGGCACTACAGCCAGAGACTTCAGAACAGCTTTAGAAGGAGGCTAAACGTCACAGCCCGCTCATGGCTTTGAGCAAGAAGTTGACTCAGGAGTTAAATGGACTTCACATGGGGAGAGACATTGTGGGAGGTTTTGAAAACTAAGGTAGGACTTTTTTTTTCCTTTACCTTCACAGCACAAGTTTGTAATCTGAATATGTGCTTCATATTATCACAAAGGCAAGAGGCCTATATATTCTCGTGTGTTCTGCTGTAGCCTACATTGATTTATTTTATTTGAAGTTATATTCCGATATTGTGATTATTTGTTCTACTGCTACATTGATGTCTTGAACATTATATGAGATGTGGGTATTGTAAGCCCCACAGCTGAGTATGTGTGCATATGGCGGGTGTTCTGCAGTGTTGTCTAAAAATTTTGCTGTACATTGATGTCTAGAAAAGTAGGGTTGTGTAAGCCCCGCAGCTGTACTCAAGTATCTGGGCATACTGCAGTGACGTCTAAAATGCTTTGAATTAATTATCACATTGGAGAGTGCTGTCCGTTTCACCACCAGAGATAGTAGGCTACTTGGCTGCTACGTTGTGTTTGACACTTTTTTTCACTATGTGTTCCGGGACCTCCCAATTTACAAATTAAGCACTGATTGTCCTGCTGAAAGGTGAATTCATCTCCCAGTGTCTGGTGGAAAGCAGACTGAACCAGGTGTTCCTTGCCTGTGCTTAGCTTCATTCTGTTTATTTGTTAGTTTGAACAACTCCCCAGTCCTTAACGATTACAAGCATATCCATAACATGATGCAGCCAAAAACATAATTCCACTTTCACATTATGGGGTAATGTGTGTAGGCCAGTGACGAAAAAAAATCTACATTTAATCAATGTTAAAGTCATGCTGTAACACAACAATGTGGAAAGAGTCAAGGGGTGTGAATACTTTCTGAAGGCAGTGTATATTGTTAATTTTGTTGATGATCACAAGCTTACTGGAGAACTGAGACCAAGTAGAGACTTTGGACAGGGTGGATATGGTATAATAAAGGCAGTTTATTCAGAGGTAAAGATATCTGGAATCGCGTGCACGGACTCGTTCGTCAAACTCTTAGGGAGCTGTCTGAAGAGAGCCCCGAAAACATTGTGTGCAGACATTTTATACAATAAATGATGTAGGTTGAATCTAGTAGTTCTGATCTTCTGATTGGTCCTGATGAGTTGGGCGAGGTCCCCTCCAGGCTAGTGTCACTGTTGCATTGGCTCTGAGTCGGGTTCTCTGTCTTCAAATGTTCAGCCTAAAGAGAGGGGATTTTTGTGTGTGTGTGTGTGTGTGTGTGTGTGTTTAACAGTGATGATGTGTGTGTGTGTGTGTGTGTGTGTGTGTGTGTGTTATCAGTGATGATGTGTGTGTGTGTGTGTGTGTGTGTGTGTGTGTGTGTGTGTGTGTGTGTGTCCTCAGAGCAAGAACTCGTGAGTTGGAAGAACTGAGAGACCTATGGCGTGGGTGTTGTCCTTGGCCACCTGCTGACAAGGCTGACAAGATAGGACCCTTTTGTCCATTGTTATTGGATAGGAACAGCATTGATTGAAAACAAACGCCCAACACAAAATGGGTCATGCACAAGATTTTAGTCAGACCAAGCTATAACATTATATATTTACTACGACAATATCACAATCGCACTGATATAGGCCTACTGTAAAATGCATTATGTCTGAGCCATGGACATGCCAAACATTGTCAATGAGCAAGATTGAATTCACTATTGATAAGACCTAAAAAGACACTGAATAAGTATAATCAAATTCTAATAAAATGAAACAACTTGTTTTAAAAAGGCTATGTCTAAATACAGTTACAGGCACCATAATTGCTCCCTGTGGGCATATATTATTACGCCTAAAAGACAACTTAGACTATGGAGGGTTTTACGCACGTTCAAACTTTCCACAGGAGCTGGAAAAATATCCAATATAAGGAGAAAGGGGGAATGTCCACTCACCGTTACTGCTTCCACATATATATTGTTATAGCATACCATTGGTGTTGATATGGCAGGTAGTGACTTTGACACGTGAAAGTTAATCAAACAAAAAGCGGACTCAGCACCACGGACAGCAATCGGAATTCCCACGATTTGACAATTAGGTCCAACAGAGGAAAGTGGAAGATGCATTTTTTTGACAAAATGATAAACAAAAAACTATAAGCAGTCTCTTTAAATACCTTGATGTTCCTAAACAGGCTTCCTATAGTCACTAATACCTTTCATGTAATGGGCATTGCACGTAATGAGCCCAAACGTTTCACATAAGCTGGACAAAAATAATGTCTAATATAAATAAAAAAGCAGAATGTCTGACTGTTTTGCTGCACGTTATATTTTCATAAAACATTGGTGATGTACATAAGGCTACTGTGTGTGCCTCCACTGGCAAAATCAATGGCATAACCAATTGCGTTACCCCTAAGACCAGCTTTTGGTCAGTCCCTAGTTGTGTCACTGAAGTTGGCACACCTTTTTAAGGACACACCTCAAATGTTAGACAGGTAGATTGCCAAACCTGGCGTAAGGGCTGGAAAATGCAGTAACACTTTATTTGGATAGTCTGTAGAGCATCTACAGGTGGACTATCTACAGACAATCATTAACATTTCAACAAACTATCTACTAACCTTAACCTTTAGCCTACCCTAACCCTAACCTTAATCCTTAACCCTTATTCTAAACCTAACCCTAACTGTAACCTTAGTAAGCAGTTGCTTATCAACAGATAGTTTGTTGATAGTATGACTATCTGTAGAGCATCTACAGATGGACTACCCGGACTATCCAAACAAAGTGTGACCGAAAATAACAGTGCGCCAGTTTTTACATGACGAAATTGTAAACTAATATGCACTTGACACTTGCGCTTCCTTACCGCCAGCTGAAAATAAAGCCCTCAGTATTTTAATTGTTTGTTTTTTACAGTCATTTTTGCTCATCTTTATCAAGGCTGTCAATGATTTCAGACCCCACTGTATGTATTTGAATATTTATATTTTTAACACACAAAAACATTTCATTAATGAAATATTTAATCAGTCGTCTGATGGGACGATGACTCACTCTTTGCAAGAGGGAGGGAATCTAATTAGATTGGTCCTGAACTCACGGCTCAAACCCTTCATTCAGAATAAGTGGAATTATCCCTGAGTTAGCCTGCCCCAGAGCGGGTTAGTTCTGAATGATTCGTTGCCATAGACATTTTACTGGCTAAAAGGTGAGCCACTTTCCTGTCACCGGTTATCCCGTGTTTACCTCAGAGTTGACCAAAGTTACCTCGCTAACTCCTCAAGCCAAATTCGTGGTATAGGGCTCAGGGCAACCAATATAACCGTAAAAATATAGTCTTGTGTGTACGTCTGTCAAATGAATTAATACCTATTTCCTCCTTTGGTGTTGTTTGCCAGTGAACATCACGTGTGAGATGCCATCGAGGTTCCGCTGTGCTAACGGCTACTGCATCTACTCTGGGAATCTGTGTAACCAGAAGGACGACTGTGGGGACGGAAGTGATGAGAAGGAGGACCTCTGTAAGCAACGTACCCCCAATGCAACATTTGTAAATGCAGCCCTAATGCAATATGTTGTGGAGGTTAGGTTCAGTAAACGCAGAAATTATGCAACCTGTAGTGATGTTTAATGAAGTGAACATAGCCCGAATGCAACATATTGGGGTTTATCTGGGTTTAGTTAAAGTAGCCCTAATACAAACTGTAGTGGGGTTTAGGTTTTGTGAATGTAGCCCTTATGCAAATAATATTATGGTTACGTTTGAGTGAACGTAGACCTAACCCAAATATTCATTAGGTTAAGGTTCAGTGAACGCAGCCCTTTTATTTGAAAATGTATTGCAATAAACACTGAGTGTACAAAACATTAGGAACACCTTAATATTGCGTTGCACCCACTTTTGCCCTCAGAACAGACTCAATTTGTCAGGGCATGGACTACAAGGTGTCGAAAGCGTTCCACAGGGATGCTGGCACATGTTGGCTCCAATGCTTCCCACAGTTGTGTCAAGTTGGCTAGATGTCCTTTGGGTGGTGGACCATTCTTGATACACACAGGAAACTATTGAGCATGAAAGACCCAGCAGCATTGCAGTTCTTGAAACACTCAAAACGGTGCGCCTGGCACCTACAGTACCACCATACCCCGTTCAAAGGCACTTCAATCTGTTGTCTTGCCCATTCACCCTCTGAATGGCACACTATGTCTCAATTGTCTCAAGGCTTAAAAATCATTGTTTAATCTGTCTCCTCCCCTTCATCAACACTGATTGAAGTGGATTTAAGGGATCATAGCTTTCACTTGGATTCCCCTGGTCAGTCTGTCATGGAAAGAGCATGTTTTGTACACTCAGTGTACATTTTCCAATGGAATCTTCCCGAACATTGCATGGATAATGACATTGTTAGATCACCCTCTATGTTAAAGTGCAGTTGGACAGGCACTCAGTGACTTAATCTCAAATTAAGGGTGAGGGGAAGCATTTATGACTATTGAAATAACAATATTATAGATAAGAAAGTCGTTATTTGTTTGATTGTTGTACAATCCGGCTTAAAAATCAATCTAGGCAAATTATTTTTAGAAGAGATTACTGTTGTATTGTTGTTATGAATTGAGGCAGTTTTGTAATATTTTTGCGGGGCGTGGGGGTACAACAGGATGAGACAAAAGATAAATTAAGAATGGAATGCAACTTTGATTGTGTTTATGTATTTGTGTGTGTGTGTGCCTGTGTGTTTGCGTTCATGCTTGTGTGTGTGTGTGTGTGCGCGTGTGTGTGTGTGTGTCTGTGCTCATCCGTGCGTGTTTCCTTACAGGCCGTGAGCCCACCCTGGCTCCTTGCACACTCCAGGAGTTCAAATGTACCAATGGACAGTGTGTAGCCCTGCCCTATGTGTGCGACCACAATGACAACTGTGGGGACCGCACTGACGAGATAGGCTGCAGTGAGTTCAACATCACTCTCTCACAACATTTAATCTTCTGAGAGAGCAAAACCCATTGCTCACAATTATTTGTATTACATAATTGTTACATTACAAATGAGTAACCATCATCTGCAATGTATCTGTGAAGGAGCTGGCCGTACCCATGCACACTACGAGGTTAATGAAAATAGTAACTGGACTGGAAACATTTTCAAAATCTGTAAATATTTATTATAAAACAGTTGGGTTAAAAAATAGGTTAAAATACAGACAATGCTAAAGGTTATAAAATCAACAAACTTTCCTGCAGAGCATAAAAGCATGTCTACCTCCTTTCATGAAGTATTTCTCCTACACTGTTCAAACAGACACATTCTAAAGCGACACACAATAATTAAAGATCAATCATTAACACAGTAATTAAGATCAACACACCTGAACACACGCAAACTGACAAGACAAACACTTGAAACTGTTGATGATACATGTACATGTATAGCAAGGTTTGAATGATAGGAAACACAATTTGGGCCCAATGAAACAACATATTTGACAAACTAACACATTTAAAATGTATAAGTGAAGATGCGTTATCCTTATGCAGATGCTATCTTCACAGTATCTATTATGTAATGTAAGTAGGTTATTTACCTCAGCCTTTCTCAACCTCGGGGCAATTCCATATATTTGATCTATTCAAACACCACTGAAACTAGTGACTAATCAGCAAAGGGTGTGCTGGTGTTGGAATACATCAAAATTATGGAATGACTGGTGGGCCTTGAGGATTGGGTTGAGAAAGGCTGATCTACCTTACTTTAATTCTACTTTCATAGCCTGAACCAGATTCCTTAACTTCAAATGATTGTTTATTACTGTGATATTATCAAAAGCTGATTTAGACAAATGGAGAAAGTGACCCATTGTGTGCCCTGTTCCAGATTTTGGCCATGACCGGACCTGTGAGGAGAAACTGTGTCAGCACGAGTGTACCAACCTGAACGGGACCGGCTTCATCTGCTCCTGTAAACCCGGATACAGAGTGGACCCAGACAGCACCTTCAACTGCATAGGTACACACATATAGAGACATGCTCACTAGGGCTGACCCCATTTAGTCGACTGGTCGATTGTTTGGTCGATAGGCTGTTTGTTGGTCGACCGAGATTTCTTTAGTCGAACAGTAGCAAACAATTAATAAATGATGGTGTACAAGACACCTGTCTGATTTGCGCCTGTCTGAGTGGACTACTCAATTGTGGAGGCCATGGGGGTGGCAAAGTCCATCACTAAGGCATGAGCTACTGAAATTGTATATGGTTAAGGACAATTGTACAACACTAATAAAAATAATATTATTTTATAACAAATGCGCTTTCTCCCTCGTTTGATAGCGGTCACTGTCCGCGGTTCTGAAACATCAGTGTGCTGTTGAATTGGCGCCTTTTCCTAGACCATGTTGCTATGTGCATAATAGCAAAGTTAGCCAGCATATTGGTGTTGAGAACAATGTGGCAGCAGAGTTAGGAGACGAGAAAACAGCCCCTGCCTTAATTGTCTAAGAAAAGTGAGGAGAGAGGAAACCCCAACATAATTAGGTCTATAATCAGTAGCCTAACTGTTAAATGTGCCTGGGTATTTTTAAATCATCCATATATACTATATCTACAGAAATAAGACAGATCCTGCTTGTGTTGCCTGTTTGTTTAATAGCCTCCTGATTCCGTGAGCACCAAGCCTCATGCAACACAACATGTCGGATAAACAATTTCACAAATTCGGCTGTTTTTAATCTCTGGAATTACTTATTAATAATATTTATAATAATAATAAGCCTCCTATTCTTGATCTCCTTGTTATTGTTATTATTATGATCATCATTATAAGAATAAGTAATGCCATTATCATTAGTAGGCTTAGTAGTTTATAGCAGCCTTGTATAACTACCATCGAGCTGTAGGCCTAATAGCACATCCTGTTTAGTCTTAATTCCATAATTTACTTAGGCTTATATTTCAATACTTACTGTATATAGGCTACTGTATCAATCAATCAATAATTCGTACATGTCACCACACCGCATATGAGGCATTCATGATTTTTAAATGGGGGGTGTACTTCTAAGCTATATGGAATTGTTTTAAGAAGGTCATACCAAGGATCATTTTGCTATTTGATTTCTGAAAAAAAAAAAAAAAAACATTAAAACAATTATTAGAAAAATTATTTTTTGGCCTTACTGCTATTAGCCCATACAAACACATTGAATAACAGATTCACTACATGGAACAATAGATAGTCCCAAACAAAATCTAAAGGAAGTTTGTTCTGAAGTGTCTGTCCTATATCTGAGAAATGTAAGAAAGATCAGGAAACATTTGTTGTATTTTTTAAAACTTATTTTTGTCACTAAACAGTCTCCATATACTGTACTTCCATACATTTTTTCAACGGGTACAGTGGGACCTTCAGACAAGTCTTTTGAGGCCTGTGGGCGCCCTAGAGCAAAACAAGAGTCTCACCTTTACACAGATGGGTCATATTAGTGTGTAGCCCAAACCCTTTGGACGCTACAGACGTTGCCAGATCGGTTGTACCGACTTCAGATGAGTCCCAAGACGCTTGTGGAGGTCATAGAGCAAAACGAAGATTCTCATCTTTCCATAGAGGGGTCATAATAGTTTGTAGGCCAAACCGTTCGGACGCTATAGATGATTTTGTGAGAATACCGATCTTCGGGTTGTCTCATGTTCTGACAAACACCGTTGTAGTTCTATCACCTTTCACCGCAGCTGCGGAAGTGTTACATAGGTGGATGCGGTTGATTGAGACGCATCCAATGCAAAAAATAGATATCTCTAGATATCTCTAGCTTAAACTGACAGATTTTTATGGGGAATCTTTCCACGGGGGCGCGGGCATCGACCTTAGGTTAATTATTTAATCAAACAGAGCGCTTAAAGCACCAGACAAGCTCAGTGCATATAGTTGATTTCATTAAAACACATAGGATGTGTCTAAATATGGAAAAATACACATTTTAAAATGTTGACTAATCAATTGGTGACTCTCGGTCTACAGCCCTAATGCTTGTACGCACACACACCACACACTCCGACATGCACTTAAACAACATTCAACTTACACTACACCCACACAGACATAAACAACATGAATATTTCAAATCATATTAACTGGATCATTGCCTTCATTCCATCTCTTCCTTGTAGAGTTGTTGTTGACTGAAAACAATACAACAGAATCAACGAAGCACAAGCTACACGCTTGACTAGATAACACTCTGAAAGAACATAAATCAAAGTGTTTGTTGTGAAAAGCAGCAGCATTAGTATGACTCCGTTTTGTGGTTATAAACAGTATAGGTCAATTCTTTGTCCAAAACATGTTTTGCTTAGAAAATAGCATTCAAGTCCATGTTTACAGAGACCTTGCTACCCTATAAACAATAACAAGCAATATAGTTACTTAACTTTCTACCTCAATTTTTCCCAGACGTCAACGAGTGTGAGGTACATGGGACATGTCCGCAGGTCTGCAAGAACACCAAGGGCGGGTACGAGTGTGTGTGTGCCCCCGGGTACCGCAAAGTGGGTAATGGCAACCAGTGTGAAGCTGAGGGTGAGTTCACACCTCTACCATACTGTTGTTTAGACCTGAGACCTAAAGCTTTGCTTTAGAAATATGCTAATTGCTAAGTATTTTGCTAATTGAAGACCAGTTGACTAATTTGCAAATGAACAGTTTGTTGGTTTTATCTCATTTTAGTGCTGTGTAGGCCTATAAATTGAGTGTTTGAGATTTCAAAATAATCTCCATAATATTATACACTATTATGAACAAATAGTAACAATATTGTTATTATTACAGTTGCTATTAATTTATCGACGTTTCTGGAGAAACGTTTTATGGGTAAACTTTAAAAATAAACTTTTCCTACTTCAACACAAACTTACCTGAAGCTGATTATTCCAGGTGCCGGGCCTCTCCTATTGCTCCCAGAGAATATCCGTATCCGGAAGTTCAACTTGCAGACGGAGGCCTACCATGACTTCCTCGAGGAGCAGGAGCACATCATGGCTCTGGACTATGACTGGGACCACAACAACACTGGACTCAGTACGTCACACAGACAAAATTAGCGGTCTCCTATGACCCAAACAAAATAGCTGCGATTATAGGAAAAATACACTTTTTGTTTTTACAAAGAAACACTATGTTTCGAAATAAACTTTACTTATCAAAGTCAGGAATGCATATTCAAATACGTGTTTAACATGTTAGTTAAACTTACATGGAAAACCTTAATTATCATCAATATCATCAAAAAGTGACTAAATATTGTTAGCAGTTGATGTTATTCTTCAATAACACAGACCCCAAAGGAAATCGGGGAGAAAAATATATTTATTCAAAGAGAACTAATCATAGTTGTTATGCTGGAAAGTAGATGGTAGATGTCCTCAATGTTGTCTCCACTGAACAAAGAGACAGGATGTAGTTTATAGCCTCAAGCCTAGCATGTGGCTGACCAATTAGAATTCCTTGCAATAAAATTAGGCCAATGGCCAAATACCAAGTATCCTGTTTCAGGCTCAATGTATAGACCATTTGAACCAATGAGAACTTGCCACATGTAGCTATGAGTCCCTGGTTGGAACCCCTACACAGATTCTAAACAGATGTTGAACTGAAAAACAACTATTTCCATTGATCGTTAATTCCCTCTTGACCTCTAGTCCTCCATTGACCACTAGTCCTCTGCGTTGTGTATTTATCTTAGAATATTCTTACAATATAATCAAAAGTGACTAAATAATGCAAAATAATAATCCTGACAAAAATAAGATATCTATGTTAAAAGAGAGCTGACTAAGCTCTCCATGTTTTTCTCAGGTATGGTGTATTTCACGGTGGAGGGGAAGGACAATGCGGCAGGTGCCATCAAGAGGGCATATATACCCACAGTGGACGACAATAGCAACAATATGGCCGCCGCTGTCGACCTGGGCATCAAATACATTACCACACCAGATGGCATCGCTGTTGACTGGGTCGGAAGGTAGAATGGCATGGCTGCACCTCTATTTATTTATTTATTTATTTATTTGTTTGTTGTTCAGATTCCCTTGTAATACAGAACTGGGCATACTCCCCTACTGTGTGGTTTTGTGTTTCATTCAAGTTCTGAAATGTTCACATTTATGAAAATGTCATGTAATCTGTTAGCTAATATATTGATCACTGAAATTGTCATGGCAGTGGTATCTACACAGTACTTGTTATATTGATGTTAATGGCTGTGAATGACTTTGATATGCAGTGCTATAACATGTTTGGGACATAACAAAACATGTTCTTTATTTTCCTGTGAATAGGAACCTGTACTGGGCGGACTCGAGAGTCAAGAGGATAGAGGTGGCCATGCTGGATGGGCGCTACAGGAAGCATCTGGTCAAGACGGACATTGGCCAACCCTCGGCTGTGGCTGTCAATCCTCGACTGGGGTGAGAAGCATTGTAGGCTGCAATGAGTCTGGGGCTTGTATTGGAAGCTGTGGATAATGCTTCGAGAGGCTCACAATTTCCTCGTCCCCCAAAAATTCATACAAATAGAAAATGTGAACTTGTTTAAACTACAAATTCACGGATCATCGCAGTACTACAGTTTCACAATTGATGTGCAAGCAGTCATGGATGAGACATGGTCAGATTTGTTGTTGACCTGGGCATTCTTTGGACAAAAAAATCTGACATCGTCTGAAAAGCCCCTTACAAAATAAATCTACTGTAGGTGAAACACTTATCCCTCATTTTCCTTTTCCACTTTCCTTTCTTCATCCAGGATGCTGTACTGGGCGGACCGAGGAACCGCGGCCAGGATCGAGTACTCATGGTTGGACGGGCAGCATCGGAATGTCCTGGTGCCCGACGGCCTTGGTTTGCCCACAGGCCTGTCAATCGACTACGCCAACGGTGACCGGGTCTACTGGTCCGATGCCAAGGAGAGTCGCATTGAGTCGGTGCTACCTTCCGGAGAAGACCGCCGCACGGCATTGTATATTGGTGAGGCTGGAGGGCATAGTAATACACCATAGAGTGGAGGGATACACATGGGGCCTGAAAATAGTCTATTTTTTAATTGTTTGCTTTACTTGTACAAAACTCTATCATACGATTGCCATGCCTCTCTGTGACGGTCGGCTGACTTACTATTCAAACTTGGGGTTCTTTTTTTATTCTTTAAAGGGGCATTACACTCAATCTAAGTTTGTGGAGAATTGATTCATTTTGACATTAGACTACTTCTAGGTCTGAAAATATACAGAAATTAAGGTGGTACATTACATGGTTTCCAACCCTATTTTCTTCTCTACATTTGACATTTTAGTCATTTAGCAGACGCTCTTATCCAGAGCGACTGACAGTTAGGGAGTGCATACATTTTTCATACTGGCCCCCCATGGGAATCGAACCCACAACCCAGGCGTTGCAAGCGCCATGCTCTACCAACTGAGCTACAGGAGGCCTAATCTGTAACCTGTAATTTCTAACCCCTGTGTTTGTCTCTGTGGGCCCAGATGTGCGGTACCCTTTCAGTGTGAGTGTGTTTGAGGACCACATTTACTGGAGTACCCAGGAGAAAGGGGAAGTGTTCCGGCAGGACAAGTTTGGCCGGGGCACCAAGACCAAGCTGCTCACCGCTGGGCCCTGGCTCACCCAGATCAGTGTGTACCAGCAGCAGAGATACAACTCCATAGGCAGTGAGTGACACTTCAAACATCTTCTGTGTTTCCTATTTGATATCAATTAAAACGCAGTCTAGGTTTTAGTGACATTGTTGTTTACGTGTGTGTGTGTGTGTGTGTCAGTGAAAACCCCTTGTAAGGGGATCTGCAGTCACTTGTGTCTGCTCAGACCTGGAGGCTACACCTGCGCCTGCCCTGAGGGAACCAGCTTTGTCTCTGGCAGCAACACAGACTGTGATGCAGGTACCATAGCCTCCTCCATCTTGGACTGATGACTCTGTCTTGTATTGTAAATGAAAATTATCTCTATCTTGTCCCTCTTGGTTTGACTGTTGTGGTTAGCTACATGAGGTTTTCAATCTATTTTGTGTGCCATAACAAAATTGGAATGGCTGTAGGTGGGTCACCATACAATTTTTTTTGAGAGGCACTGTTCCAAACTTTAGTATTGGGCAAAGACAGGATATGATGTAATACCTTAAACAGGAAGTAACACTTTGAAGGAAATTGTGCTCCATATATTGTAGTGTGCATTGTTGTGGTTGACTGGTGTTGACCATGTATTAACCTCTTAAATCTGACCTCTGTCAGGATTTGACCCCCCACCCACCATGCCCCCTCCATGCCAGTGTATAAATGGCGGAACATGCTACTTTGATGACAACAAGGCCATGTGCATGTAAGTTGGATGTTACATTAACTTGTCCTATTAGTGCCATTACAATTACTGCACAATATCTACATGTTGCATTTTTCCAGACTATGGTGTCCATTTTAGGACAGTGACACATCCATGGAAGCAGGGTGTCCACGGGTCCTTAAAAAGTATTAAAGTCTTAAATGAATTTATCTGAAATGTCTTAAATTCAGTCTTCAAAGGTCTTAACAAATGTGACTGAGATGACTAGAGTGTTTCCGTTATATTGTGCCGCTGCTTAATTGTTGCCACCGCGGCAAAAAAGAAACTAAATTGAACATCAAATAATACTCGAGGCACACTTTCAAGATGTAAAAGAGCTATCCAACCGCGTCTGTGTGTGCACGTCAGGTGCGCGTGCCACTGCGAGTCGGTCCTTTGCCAGAGGAGAGAGATGAGAGCAAGGTAGCCTAATATGCCTATACAATTTGATAGACAACAACACTAACTAGAGCTGAGACATTAAACTGAAAATTACCAACACCGACATTGCCCTCCTCTTACCGAAGCAATTTTGCTTACATCTGTAATTTCGGTGATTAAGCTACACAAGTTCCTGCAGATATTTGGGCTCTAAAACCATTATTTGGTCAACAGTAATGTGCTTGAATTAATCTGCTTCCTGCAATGAAAGTATGTATCTGCCCTGTCACTGTTTTGTGCTGGCTCTCACTCCCGCTCCCTCATTTAAACATGGAGTAAAGGGAGAGATGAATTCTGTGCAAGTGCAAGCATACTGACTGTTGAGCAACATTTCAAAATGTAATTGTGTGAAAGACACAGTTTTTTTAAACAACTACTGATACTGTTGTTAAAAAAGAGGAGAGTCTCAGCTTTATGTGAGTATAACAATTATTTCTCAACTGTCATTACAGAGGAAATAACACCACTTTACAAACAGAGTATGTAATTGAGAGCAGGTAGCTGACTAGTGGTGGCTATTCAGCAGCCTGATGGTCTTGGGGTAGAACCTATTGGCCAGTCTGTTAGTTTTAGCCATGATGCTCCTGTACTGGCCGTGTCTGAGTGATGGAATCGGGGAGAACAGGCCGTGGCTCGGGTGGCTGGGGTCCCTGATAAACTTCTTGGCCTTCCTGCGACACCTGGACTTGTAGGTGTCCTGGAGGGCAGGCAGTGTTCAACCCATGGTGCGTTCGGCTGAGCGTACCACCCTCTGTAGTGCCTTGCAGTCAGCGGCGGTGGAGTTGTCGTACCAGGCTGTGATGCAGTCCGACACTATGTTTTCGATGTGAGGGCCTTCTGGGACAGGTTGAATTTCTTCAGCCTCCTGAGGTTAGAGTGACTGTCGTTCCTTCTTCACCACAGTGTCGGTGTGGTTTGACCATTTCAGCTCCTTGAAGATGTGTACACTGAGGAACTTGACGTTTTTGACCGTCTTCATAGCGGCCCCATTGATGAGGATGGGGGCGTGCCCAGCCTGGTTCCTCCTGAAGTCCACAATCGGCTCCTTTGTTTTGCTGACGTTGAGGGAGAGGTTGTTTACCTGGCACCACACCGTCAGAGTGCCTACCTCCTCCCTGTAGGCTGTCTCATCGTTGTTGGTAATCAGGACTACTACTGTCGTGTCGTCAGCACTCTTGATGATGGAGTTGGAACTGTGTGAGGCCATGCAGTCGTGGGTATACAGGGTGTACAGAAGGGGACTGAGGACATACCCTTGTGGGGCCCCCATGTGGAGAAGGTAATGTTGCCTACCTTCATCATCTGGGGGCGGCCCGTCAGGAAATCCATGACCCAGTTGCATAGGGAGGAGTTCAGTCCCAGGGCTGTGAGCTTTGTGGTGAGCTTAGAGGGCACTATGGTATTGAAGGCCGAGCTGTAGTCGATTTAAAGCATCCTCACATATGCATTCCTCCTGTCCAGGTGGGTGAGGGCAGTGTGCAGTGCAATGGTGATTGCGTCGTCCGTGAATCTGTCGGGCGGTAGGCAAATTGGAGAGGGTCGATTGTGTCGGGGAGGGAGGAAGTGATGTAGTCTTTGTCTAGCCTCTCGAAGCACTTCATGATGACTGAAGTGAGTGCTACGGGTTGGTAGTCATTCAGTTCATTTACTTTTCCTTTCTTGGGCACGGGGATGGTAGACATCTTAAAGCAGGTGGGGATAACAGCTTGAGCTAGAGAGAGATTGAAAATGTCAGAAAACACAACAGCTAGCTGGTCTGCACATGGTCTGAGGGCACGGCTAGGGATGCCGTCTGGGCCGGCAGCCTTGCGAGGGTTAACACGTTTTAATGACTTGCATACGTCCTCCATGAAGACCGCAAGCACATAGCCCTCGTTGTCCTCAGGGGCTCTCCTAGGCAGCTCAGAGTCGTTTTGCTCGAAGCGTGAGAAAAGGGTGTTTAGCTCGTCCGGTAGGGCGGCGTTGGTGATAATCCGTGATCGTTAGAAGCCTCTGTCACATACACCTCGTATCCGACCAGCTGAATTTTTCCTCCACTTTGTCCCTATACTTGTGTCTCGTCATCTTGATCGATCTGCGTAGGTTGTATTTGTACTGTTTAATCATACAATTGTCCCCAGTCAATATGCACAAAAAACATGTTGCAAATCAAAATATCCATCATGCATTCCCTGAAAATGTTAGATTAAACTTCTTTCATGACTTACTTGGCACTGGAAAAAGTCAGTCTAGAGCCCTCCTGCTGAAATTACCTAGCTTCGAAGTATAGCCATTTGATACCTGATTCACTGAATGAGGGAATTCTTTTATTAGACTTTTTGGTTGTAGTCTGTTATAGCATAATACCTCCAAGAGAGCTACTGAGTGTGTAGACTTTTGTTCCCCCCTCTACTCTAACACACCAACTGCTCAACAGGACCTTGTTAAACTGACTCAGGTGTGTTTGAGCAGTGCCGGATCAAAAGCCTGCACACCCAGTGGCTTGGCTTTCCAGATGGAGAGTTGACCACGTGTTTTATACTGTAACATACAGTGCCTTGCAAAAGTATTCATCCCCATTGGCGTTTTTCCTATTCACCCCCCCCCCCCCCCCCCCCCCCCCACCTTTTGCAGCAATTACAGCTGCAAGTCTCTTGGGGTATGTCTCTATAAGCTTGGCACATCCAGCCACTGGGATTTTTGCCCATTCTTCAAGGCAAAACTGCTCCAGCTCCTTCAAGATGGATGGGTTCCGCTGGTGTACAGCAATCTTTAAGTCATACCACAGATTCTCAATTGGGTTGTAAGGCAACAAAATAGGAAGAATGCCAAGGGAGGTGACTACTTTCGCAAGACTACTTTTGCAAGGCACTGGCACTTCGACTTTAAGGCATTTTTTTTTCACAGTTATGATATTGAGCATCATTATACTAAGCTGATATTGGTATCGAAGCCAAAATTCTGAACACTTAGGCCTAGAGTTTGTGATTTAGCTAATGATTAGCCCATTGGGGTAGCCTAAACAAATGCAGATGGGAAACCCCATGCTTCAGTCATCTATATCCTAGCCGCTATGCTACTACATCCGTTAGGCTACAGGAGAATGCTCATTGCTCAAATAGCACACTTGCCTGATAATATTATGAGCCAGCCCAAAAATACTACTTTTTGCCAACATGGGCTCATTTCTGGAGAGGAATATTAGCAGTTGTGTGGCGCTCGCAGACCTCAAAATTGGTATTGTATTGCATTCCAAGTGGCATTAAAAAGTCTTAAATTTAACAAATAACCTGAACATAACGTGCGACTCTGTCCTTATTATGGATAGCGTACAAGCCCTGCCGGTGTTACCTCTCTCTGTATAACATTGGTTTTGATTTTTTCCTCAGATGTCCTCCAGAATGGCAGGGAGACTTTTGTGAGATAAACATATTTGGGGTGGTCGCATCTTCAGGTACATGCAACAGTATATCCATGATCCATCGTTAGTTTGTTCATATTTTTTTTCATACCACAAAATGTCAATGTCTTTACGTCCCCCCTCTGTTTCTCTCTATCGTTCTCCTTTTCACCTCATCTCCTTCCCTTCCTTCTCTTTCACCCCCACTCTCATTCCCTCCTCTCCCTCATGCAAACCCCCTCTCCTTCCCTCCCTCCCTCCCTCCTGCCATTCCCCCCCCCCTCCCTCCCGCCCAGTGGGTATAGCCATCGGGGTGACTGTACTGATAGTACTTCTCCTTGGGGGTCTGGTCTATGCTGCCCAGAGGAAGGCCAGTATCATGGAGACAATAAGCCACATCATGCCAAGTATGCCTAGCTTCAGGTGAGCCACAGTTCCACAGGTACTGCCACAATATATCTTGTCCCCCAGCTCATTAGATTCTAAAAGGATATGCTAATGCTAAAGCTAGCCCAACAACCCATTAGATTCTAAAGGGATGCTAATGCCAAAGCTAAGTTTCCTCATAATACAGAGCTAATATCTGTATCATAATCCTTTCATTCATACCAAGTGTACTTTTATTGGATGTTTTCAGGGGTGCCCCGTCTCAAAGCTCTGACCCATCAAAGGAGGAGGGGAGTGACCCGGGCCCAAGCCTCAAAGCGGTTTGTCTAATCATGATTTGTTAATAATCCATAAAACAAAAACATTTAAAGTGTTTTCCAGCACACAGACTCCTAGAGTACTGTGGTTAGCTTATGTTCATGCAAAGCGTCTCTTTACATAGTCTTACGGTCTATGTCTCATCAATGTCTCATCTAGGAACCCCTTCACCAGGAGCCCTGTACTGCTGTTCCTATGGAGGAGGAAAGGGGGAAGAGTTTTGAGAACCCCGCCTATGCAGCTGAGGGGATTGAGAGACCTGCCCCTAACGGTATCACTACTGCCATCCTTGTGCCCAATGGGACAGCAAAGGTCAATACACCAAATATACTGTATTAGCTAATATATGTACTATAATGTACTGTATTCTGTTAAATCATCCCAATGTGGATTTCAGCAGTTCTATGATTTTAGTTTTACTAAGACAACACTGGCGGGTCACAGCCAATCAACTTGTGGGCCAGATTTTGCCCGTGGGCCGCCAGTTGAAGACCCCTGTTTTGGAGTTTCAATTGAGAGCTAGTTAAAAAGTGTATTCTTGTTTTTAGGGACATGCACTGGGCAGTATGCCAATGTCATTCAGAACATAGAACATGAGGAAGACCACCCTGTCGACTGTATCTTGCGTGTAGTTCTGAATTGTTCTTTATGTTGTTCTATAGGAGAACATTGAGAACCCTTTGTATGCTGAGGTTCGTGTGGTAGCTGAGCCTGACCCTGAGCCCGATGCTAGCGCCACACCCGCTAACACTGTATCAGTCGAGGTAGGCACCGTTTGAAAATAAACATATTAAGGGGCTAGTTATAGTTCACCTCTGAAACAAAAGCTGGTCAGCTTGTTTTCATTTTTATGGGATAGTTAACTTTTTTAAGTTTTAGCTGACTTTCGACAGGGTGAATTATCCCTTTAAATGTGGTCTTAACTCAAACAGACTGACAAGGTTTGATTTTGACGTGAACCATCCCTTTCAAATATCAGACAATAGAGTAAGATCTTTACAGTTCAGGCTTTTCTAACTTATTTTTCTGGCTGCCATTTTAGGGGGCCTTTGAGAATCCAGCGTACTCTTCAGAATCAGATGAGGAACTGACTCCCAAGGAACCAGTAGCCGACAAGTCACTAAAGGTACAGTGTATGGAGGACTAAAAGTGCCACAATTAAATAAATAAATACACCATTAAATAATTACTTAAATGTGTCATTAATTAATTAAAATTAGAATTAAATACATAAATGTGTAATTAAATGTATCATTAATTAATTCAAATACCGATTCATTTAATGTAAAATACATATATAATTATTTCACTATTTACATTTACATTTCATGATCCTGCATTGCAGTGATTCATGAATTACTTAAAACTGTCAAACTGACCCATCAAAGTCAGTGGGCGGGGCTAACGCGAATCTAGTCTGATCCATTGCTTTGGTCTGAAGTAGAGTAGGCCAACCTGGATAGAGACAATGGAGGATCTCCGTGAACTTTCCAGGGAGTTGGTTAGAGACATTTTAAACTTAGCAGAGGATGTAGAAGCAGGACCTGCTGACATTATCCGGAATTGATTTGTCTTGGCTTGATGCAGAGGGTAACCAATCAGGCGTTAGGTTCCGCCTACCAACTTTTGATGGGTCAGTTTGACAGTTTTAAGTAATTCAGGAAGCACTCCAACGCAGGACCATGAAATGTAAATGTAAATAGTGAAATTATTATATATGTATTTTACATAAAATGAATCGGTATTTGAATTAATTAATGACACATTTAATAACACATTTATGTATTTAATTCTAATTTTAATTAATTAATGACACATTTAAGTAATTATTTAATGGTGTATTTATTTATTTAATTGTGGCACTTTTAGTCCTCCATAACAGTGAGGGAAAAAAGTATTTAATCCCCTGCTGATTTTGTACGTTTGCCCACTGACAAAGACATGATCAGTCTATAATTTTAATGGTAGGTTTATTTGAACAGTGAGCGACAGAATAACAACAAAAAAATCCAGAAAAACGCATGTAAAAAATGTTATAAATTGATTTGCATTTTAATGAGGGAAATAAGTATTCGACCCCTCTGCAAAACATGATTTAGTACTTGGTGGCAAAACCCTTGTTGGCAATCACAGATATAAGTTCATGTTAATTTACCTGAGTGCCAATAATTGTTTCTTTCACACCACCCTCTTCAGTTCGAACCCATCCCTGATGACAATGCCGACAACAGTTTCATAAACCCAATGTTCTCGGTGAGTGTTCAAGAAATAAGCTTGTACATGTGCATTCTACAATAGAATGTGTGTTTTATTGTTTTCATATGCACTTTGGTGTATTGATGTCTTCTTTATGCATAATTGCAGTGTAATATGTGTTGTAGACCTAGGTAGAATACTTAATGTAAAATACTTTAAAATACTTTATAGTTTCAAATAAACTCCAAGCTACATCAAGCACACCTCAAACACTTTCAAATCTTTGACATAGAACACAAACACACAAGATCAAATACTGTCTGTCTTCATTCTAATGCTCTTTCGACAGGATCCCACTTACCCATCCACCCCAGAAGACTCCTTCATTTGACCTCCACACCAAGCAAATCAGTGGACAAAACACCAGGACTAAACACTGGACTAAACTGAACACTAGGACTAACACTGGACTAATCATATCATACTAATCTCTCCCTGGTTGGAGAATGGCTTATTAAAACAGTACAAACAATGCACCTTCACTTGCCCTTAAACAGCCCGACTTTCAATACCTGACTTTGAAAACCACTGCATTAGATGAAGAAATCGGGGCCCGGTTTCCCAAAAGCAACCTAAGGCTAAGATCATTGTTAGAACCTTTGTAGGAGCATCGTTAAATCTCTGAGCTGTTTCCCAAAACCATCGTTACTAAAGTTGGACTTAAATACTCCTAGAACAGCTAAGTGAGTCGTTAGTAGGCATAGTCCCGTTGTGGTGATGCTTTCAGTTGACTGTACAGCATAGCCATTCACAATTGCATAGAAAAAAAAACTAAACGTCCCTTGTCTGTCATGAATGTTGAATAAAATTATCTTTTAATTTAGCCTACTCTGCCGATTGTCCGTGGGGTTGGTTCTTAGTCAGGTCGAAATTTGAGGCAAAATGTCTACAGGAAAGTATTATTAAACCGACTTCAAAACGCGTCTCTGTGTGTGGCAATCAAGGCTTGTTTGCTCATCAGCTAAGGCATGTGCACAAGACGGAAGTAGCCTGCATGCACACGATGCATACTAACCAAAGTCTTGCAGGTGTTTACATTGTTTTGTACAAGGTGATAGATATCTCAACGCCTGTACCGGTGCTCTAAAAAGTCAGGTAAACAAGACTTTTCTGTGCATATTTGGTCTCTCGACCAGCTGAAGGACCAACCGCACAGACAACCGGTAGAGTAAGTTCAAATGTAATGTTATTCAACATTCTGGCTTGTAAGGGAAGTTTCCAAGTTTTTGCAGTGCTTTGATTCAGACTGTATACCAAGAATTGGTATCAGTCTGATTTATTAGGCAACGTCGTTAGATGCTGTTTTGCCCTTCCACATCACTTTATACACAGAAGATCTCTGCTAAACATAGAATCAAGGTGCTTATCTGTCTGTGACCTCCGATAACTTCAGAATGAAGTTGACTACAAATACAAAGTTGCCAATGTCTTTGCAATTTGTACAAATAAGTGAAGGATAAAAATATGCTTCAAATGAAAAGAGATGACAGCATTAAAAGATAAATACAGTAGGCCTATTCATAGACATATATATATATATATAAATCATGTTGAAATAAATTTCTTGTTCAATCAACTGAGTTTTATTTTGCTAATTGTAAGCTAACCTACTGTAATTTTTGCCTCAATATATTTCATGATGTGTAACAGCATGTGTGCAATGATGTGCCAAATATGTGATTTAGTGGATTATTATTGGGGAACCATTAGAATAAGCCGCCTCAATATAGGTGGTAATTTCTCTCTAGGAGCTGATCCATCGTCAGTATTGTGGAATACTTATAATGTAAAGGTAAGATTTGAATTGAGAAAGCTGATCCGAGAGCAGTGCGGCCTTTCTTTCGATCCTACCAGTATGGACATATTCTCCAACGAAGCACTGAGTGAACGTTAACTCTACGTTGTGTTCTGGAAACGCATGTTACATCTTCGGCCGTTGTAAGAACGATGCACCGTTAAAACACTCATAAGTTCCATCGCTATCGGGAAACTGGGCCCAGAGCAGTTAATGGAAGTGATGCGATAGTGGGTGAACGGTAGAACGGATGTGTATAGCTAGAAAGTCTGGAATTATGTGGCTTAGTTATAAGTATTTATAACTAAGACTATATTTTTATGATTACAATCTGTGATTAATTATATTTGATTGACTCGTCATAAAGCGAAACAAACTGTTGATGTATATGATGTTGTAAATGATCTTGTTTTATACTGTATGATTAAACCGATTATTGTTGTAGAGTTTGATAAGTGTTCTTGGAGATTAACCTTGGCAACCAGGTCTTAGATTTCTTCATCCTATGTATTATGAGTAGGGCCCTGTGTTTTGCTTAATAATGTCACATGACCTGGATTTAAAACGTTATTTAGAGCTTTTTCATCAACCTGTCCCCTTTTCTTTTTATGTCAGATGGTCCAACACCATCCTCAGACAGTTTCTTTCATTTTTGGTCTAATTCTAATTTCTAGAAAAAGCTTTAAAAAATGTTAAAATCCAGGTCATGTGACATGATTAACCAAAACACAGGGCCCTAATTATGAGATCAATGAAAGTGTAATCATCTGACCGCAAAATTAATTGTTTGGATGAAGGACAATATGGATGGTAATAATGTTAGTATTAACAATAAGACATTGGCCAACATACCACAATACAGTAGGCTACATATACATATATACTCTCTCTCCTTCCCCTCTCTCTCTCTCTCATTCTTTGCATCCCTTTTTTGTGTCTTTCCACTCCACACATGCTGCACGTGTCAGCTAAAGATCAGAGATATATTTGCCAAGCAATCAGCATAGAGACTCACACTGGTATCGTCTGAGTATGATGACCCTGATTCCCATGTAGTGTCTGCTGCGACCCACTGAACTTGGCTGCTGTGCTCTCTGCTCAGCCATAGAAGCCTACAGCCCTACACTAACCACGCCTTAATGATCACTGATGGGGTAACAAAAGCAATGACTACAGCACTTTGCAACTCTCCTCTTCTTTTCTCTTCTCTCTCATCTTCTCTCCCTTCCTTCCCTCTTCTCGCCCCTCCTCTCCCTTTCCCTCCTCTCATCCTGCCATCACAAATGTCTTATCACATCAATGCTTCCCCTTTCACTGAGTGGAATGTAACTACACTCCAAAAGGGTTCTTCGACTGTCCCCATAGGAGAACCCTTTTTGGTTCCAGGTAGAACACCATTTGGTTCCATGTAGAACCCTCTGTGGAAAGGGTTCTATCTGGAACCCAAAAAGGTTCTACCTGGAACCACAAAGGGTTCTCCTATGAGTGTAGGGCACTAAAAGAGAGATAGGGAATACAGAGTGGTTGGGTAAGGGATAAGTGGAGTTATAGTGTGGTGATGGAAGAGTGGAGGGATGGGGGGCAGAAAAGGAGGGAAGTAGGGGGACTGGTAAATTTAGAACCAAAAAGTTGCTATCTAGAACCTAAAAGTGTTTTTCGGCTGTCCCCATAGGAGAACTCTTTGAAGAACCCTTTTTATTTCCAGGTAGA